TGTAAAGAAAACAAATATCTTCACCACTGGACCAATAAACAACATTCTTATCAACAGAGAAAAGACTGAAGTTGTCAAGGATTTCATTCTTCTTGGATCAACTATCAACACTCATGGATAAGGTTGCTACGAGTCAGTACCTACTCAATGGCACCTAACAACAACAACGACAAACAACACCTCTGTAAGAAAAAGACAAATAACCCAATTTAAAAATGGGCTCAGGACATGAACAGACACTTCACCAATGAGGAGATCTGGGCAGCCAACAAACATATGAAGAAATGTTCATGATCACTAGCCATTGTTGTTGTTGTTCGGTGCCATCAAGTCATTACCAACTCATAGTGACCCTATGCACAACAGAACGAAACACTGCCCAGTCCTGGGCCAACCTCACTACTGTTGCCACGCTTGAGCCCACTAATGCTGCCACTTTGCCAATCCATCCTTATTGGTGTCTTCCTCTTTTTCTCTGACCCTCCACACTACCAAACATGATATTCTTCTCAAGCAACTGGTCCCTCCTGACAATATGTCCAAAGTATGAAAGATGAAGTTTGCCCATCCCTGCCTCCAAGAGCACTCTGGCTGCACTTCTTCCAACACAGATCTGTTGGTTCTTTTGGCAGCCCATTTGTTGTTGTTGTTGTTAGGGGAGTAAAAAGCCTAATCTTTCTCCCATAAAGGCACTGGTGGGTTTGAATTTTGATTAGTAGTCCAGTGTTTATCCTTCAGCACCATCAGGGTTCCTTGGAAAAGGACATCATGATGATTGGCAACATAAGAGGGTCAGTGAAAAAGAGGAAGACCACCAATGAAATGAACTGACACAGTTGCTACAACAAAGAGCTCAAACATAAAAATAATTTTGAGGATGGTTTAGGACCAGGCAGTGTTTAGTTAGTTCTGTTGTACAAGGGTTGATGAGTCAGAATTAACTCTACAGCATCTAACAATAACAACAAATATGTGTTAGAGTAAAAAGGGAACCTCCATGATCAAAGGCAATATAGAAATACTTTTAGTGTTTACTTGACTTGTAACTTTCAGGCATATATTTTCATTACCCTGTTGTTGTTAAGTGTCACCAAGTCAGTTCCGACTCACAGCAACCCTTTTTGGATTTCCAAGGAGTGACCAGTGAGCTTGAACCACCAAACTTGCTGTCCAGTGCATTAACCCACAGCACCATACCAGGAAGAACTTGTCATTGCTAAAGTCCTGGTTTATAGCTGGGAGAACAAAAACCCTTGCCTTTCCCCATTAGTAGATGACTGAAACTATACCAATTATGCATTTTATATAAAAAGAAACTAATATAAGGACAGATATTAATAGCAAATTTTTCTAGCTATTATACCACTGTTCTACTAACTGCAAGTCAATGGTTCAACCATACTAGCTGCTCCTTAGAAACTCTATACATCGTCTCTATGAGTCAAAACCTACTTGACGGCATCTAACAACAACTTATAGCACCACTGTAGTTATAACTATAGCACCACTGTAGTTATAAAATAGAAGTCTTAGAAAAGTTCACCTAAAAGTTGCTCAGTAAATAATTTTTACATCTTAAAATGATTTTAACAACTCATACATTCTTACCGTTCTCGATTAAATTTAAGAGAATGTAGAATAGCTGGTCTTTTTTGTCTAAGGTTCCACAAATGAAGTGCATCATCTGAACTTGCACTGACCAAAGCACCCTGGAAAGATAAGACAGTGAGTGAGCAATTTAATGACTTAAGAGGGGTTTTTCGGTTTTGTTTAATGTGAAACAGAAACAACAAGCTAATTGACTAAAATTTTCACTGCTTGAACAACTATTTTGTGGCCAGAAAACCTAGAAATATGATTAAGAACTACTCATACTTCAAACGCATATGGATAATCAGTATTACGTACTAAAGAAATGTGCAATTACTAATTTGTTGTTGTTGATAAGTACTATATATAAAGTTGATTCTGACTCATAGCAACCCTATCTAGGGTTTCCTAGAAGCGGCTGGTGGGTTTGAACCACGATTGCAATTCAAAACAATCTTGCAGACCAGTGCATTATCCTGTAGCACCACACCACGACTCTATTTACCAATAGAGAAGATAAATTACTGTAGCATCATTGTCACTATTAAGGGCTTTTTTTGCATTTGCATTTTATTTGGGAAAAATAAAGGTTGCTTTAGTGTTGCTATTATTCATTCATATACTACATAATTTTACAAAGAAGTAAATATCTGTAATGGGTAGGGTTTTATGTCAACTTGACTAGGCCAGGATTTCCAGAGGGTTAGCAGCTGAGATGTACTTATTCCCAGGGTGATGAAATCTAACAGGCATAATTAACTCTTATGATTGGCTATGAGCAGCCAATCAACTGAAAGGATGTTTCCTTAGGGATGTGGCCTGCTCCCAATGGACTCATTGGAAGGTTTTTTCTCTCTCTTCCGCTGGGGTATTGATAATAAACATAGAGATGTATATATACACATATACATTTATATTTTTTTACTTCCTTATATATTCTCAAACACACACACATATATATATTTATTTATATTTATAAATATAAATGTTTCACTGGTTATGCTTCTTTAGAAAAGCCAGCCTAAAACATGTGGTACCAAGACAGTGAAGTTCTAGAAACAAAATCATATGAGTGAATTTTCTAAATTGGTGATCAAGTCTGACTAATTTAAAAGGCACTGATAAAAGAGTAGACGCATGTCTGACCTCCACTTCATAGGACTCAGCCTTGGGATGATTTTGAGTTTGGTCCTCTGTCCCTCTTGTGTAGTTAGAGGGAGTCAGACATGGTCCCCACTTGGCTTAACCAGTTGGTACTGTGAGCAGGATTCATAGCAATGGCTCCAGAACTGTGAAATTGTGATGTTTTGTAAGAGAAACAATGAAGGAGGATGGGATAAAATGTTTCAGCTGAGGGGAAAGCCTCAGTTTCAGAAATTGCCTAGAGCTGTTGACAGGCTTATGCAGATGAATCAGGTTAGTCCAAGGTACAAGAAAAGACTGAACTTGATTGTTTTTTAAAGATTTATGTATTTGGCTGCCTTATGGATATTGCTTTCTCCTGTCTATTATTGTAAAATAGACATGCATGTATGATAGGAATATTGGATCTAATGATTACAGAGAGCTTGTAAACCCGCCTTCAGCCTACACTTGAATGGATTTGCTAAAAGGGGAGTTACAATTTGCCCAGGGGTGGGAGTGGTCGGGGAGGGACAGGCTTCTTGGTTTAAGCCTCTGGAGTCCTGGTGTGGCACTCTGGGTTAATGCTCTGGACTGCAAAGTTGGTTTGAACCACAAGTCAGTGGTTCCTTGGAAACCCTCCTACACAGGGTTCCCTGTGAGTCAAAACTGACTCCGGGGTACTTAATAGCAACAACAGAGTATGGGGCTTTAGGTGGAGGAATCATGAGCCCCACCACCCAGAGCCTTCAGAGTTAGGACATTTGTATTTGAAAAAAATATGCAGACAAACCCAGAACTGCTGAAATGGCACGAGATTCATGGGGTAAAAAAAAAACCATGAATCTGATGTTTTGAGTTTTGGAGGCATCAAGGCAAGGAGAGTTGGCTCATCAGAGAAAATCCCCTTCTAGGACTTCTGGTGTGGTACTGTAGGATCAGCACTGAGAACTGAACCATAAGGTCGGCAGTTCAAACCCACCAGCTGCTCCTTGGAAACCCTATACAGGGATGCTATGAGTTGGAACCGACTTGACAGCATTTAACAACAACAACAGGACTAAAAGTTAAAGGGAACCAGAACCATATGCTCACTAGTGATCTTGTGAGCTACATGTGAGTGGAAGTCGGGGAAATGCAGCAATGAAGACACGGGCTGAGTTTGGATGTGTTCCCTTGGCACCCGTTGCCTTGATAAGAGGGGAAGCCGACTCATTTGACATTTAGGGAGTTTTGTAAACTACTGAGCCCATGGGCACTGGCCTGGCTCATGGGGACTAGGGCCAAGAGTGAAGAAGCCAGCTGGTTTGAAGTGCAGGAGAGTACGTGTGAACTCCCAAACTTGTGGATGATACCCACTTGATCTAGTTTGAATGACTAGAGCTGGGCTAACCAGAACTTGACCAGATGACGATAAGGATATTTGATACTGTGAATAAGTGTAAATTGCTACAATTTGTTGGATTGGACTTTTGCTTATGGGTGCAGGTATTCAAAATTCCAACAAGAATGTGAGATCCTTCAGATCAAAGAACTCTCTCCTCATTGTACTGGGTTGATATTATTGTTGTTAGGTGCCGTTGAGTCAGTTTATAGCGACCCTGCATAGGGTTTCCAAGGAGTGGCTGGTAAACTTCAACTGCCAACCTTGTGGTTCAAACTGGCTTTGCAATTCAGCATATTAACTCTGGGTTGATAGGAATAGGCAATTTAGACATTGGCTATCAAAACTGGGGGTTGGGGGGGAGATACTATAAAGGCATGAACTGGCTAGCTTATAAGCTTTCATGGGTGTACTTAGTTTTAAAATAAAGGGACAAAGGAGAACACCCACTGACTAGGTTTCCTCTTTTCCAGATAGGTCTAGTGAAAGGGGGTGAGAGAAGATGCTGACAGGACTTTATGATTTAATTTTGAGTAATTATGAGCTCTGGTGTGGTGCTGTGGGGGTTAATGCGCCAGACTGCAAAGACGTTTGAACTGCAAGGTCAGCAATTCAAGCTCACCAGCTGCTCACAGGGTTGCTATGGGGCAGGATGGATTCGACGACACTTAACAATAATAACAATTATGAGAAGGATTAATTATGACTGTCAAAACTGTAATTGTACAAGATATGTCCTGTTGTTGTTGTTAAATGCTATTAGCAGCCAATCAACTGAAAGGATGTTTCCTTGAGGATGTGGCCTGTTCCCAATATAATGGACTCACAGGAAGGCTCTGTCTCTCTTCCACTGGAGACCTGGGACTCTACAATTACAAGCCATACCCTTAATAATAAACTTCTCTTTATGTATATATGTTGTTGTTGTTATATGCCGTGAAGTCGGTTCCGACTCAGTGACCCTGTACAGGGTTTTCCAAGGCTGTAAATCTTTACGGGAGCAGAAAGCCTCATCTTTCTCCCACGGAACAGCTGGTAGTTTCGAACTGCTGACA